TTTTTTTTTTTTGCATGTTATCACTGTGCCCGTTTTTTGCTTTTATTCTTTGTTCCGCAAAGTGCGCTCTTTTAGTTTGTAGTGATGTGACAATATATATCCATCCATCCATCCATCCATCCATCCATCCTTCCTTCCTTCCTTCCTTCCTTCCTTTCTTCCTTCCTTCCTTCCTTCCTTCCTTCCTACAAGGCAGCTATGGCGCCCTAAGCTGCCGGCTACTTGCCGCTATGCACTGTTCATCCGGCCAGGATCTTGGTGCTAAATAATGCTGCAGTGCTTCCGCATGAGCTGAATCGAAGAAAGAGAGCTCCTGACTGTCAGGCTGCCTGTCTTGTGCAGGGTGCCCCACCCATGGCTCGTAGCCATGCCTGCCAGGCCCTGCTGAGGCCGACAAAGATTTGGACTGCCGTGGGCCTTCCCTGGGACTGAGCTGCGACTTGACCCCTGGATGGGGCATGTGGCAAAACTCCCTATTTACTGACTGCTAGGTACTTTCACTGTTCCTAGGCCTTATCCTGCCGGATCTCTATTTTGTCTGCTACAGTGGCTACTGGGAAGTTCTGTTGCCCTATGATATAGGGAGGCACGTGAATCCTTTCAACTGAGAAGAATTTGGATTAAGGCAAACTCACAGTTATGCAAGGAATGAGCCTATGCGGGGCCCTTATCAGACATGCAGTTGTTCTGGGCTGCGGCCCCAGCAACCTCGTGCCCGCCCTAAGTGAAGGCAGGCCTGAATATCCACGAGAGGGTTACGGCATTTTTCCATATGTGGGGAATCAGACAGTTGCAGCACGCCAGTTGGGTACAGAGCAATGGTGAGCCTTCAGGCTCCTTCCAGAAGCAAGGGCTGGGCTTACAGTTCAGCCCAGGGCTCAGGTGGCTGCGCCCTGGGCACATGTCGTGTGAGGACAACACATCACGGACTGGTCGTGAGGCAATGAGAAAGCAGCATTGTCGTCACACAGGCACCATGAGCCAATGAGAATGCTGCGAACACTTGGAGGCTGGGTGGCTGCTTGGGCATGCCCAACTGAAAAGGGCCCAGGCCCATAACAGCAGGGTGGGGCCTGGGCGCGGACACTGGGGCCCGACTGGAATCTACTGGAAACCTCCAGGCCAGGCCCACGCAGCCAGAGGAAGGGCTGCACTTTCCATAAAGGAAAGTGCCACGCCCAGGTAGCCTCATTCAGGCCTTGGCAGGTAATGCGGACACGGTGCTGCGTTGCTGTGCTAGTGTCTGCATGGGCGCTGCTGGTCAGACGCTCACACGGGCGCTGCTGAGGCAGCGGGCGCACAGCAGCCATAGCCAGGTTGCAGGGGCGCAGGCAGGTGATGGCGATGGTGGTCTTCCGAGTAGGAGGCACATGCAGAGAGGATCAAGGTGTGATGAGGGAAGGAGAGAGAACGTACCTGGTGTATGCTGGTGGTCGGCATTGGTGTTGACATCACGTACATTGGTCTTCGACTTCGATGTGATCCAGTCACATGAACGCAGATAGGATAGATAGGCTGAGTAGAGTAGAGGCTGGGCACTGGGCGCCAGACAGTAGGAGCGACACTGGATACAGTGTTGGTGTGACCAGGGAGTGTCGGCATCGGCGCTCGAGTTCATTGTATTGCTGTTATTTGGATGGAATCTTGGTGCATTGTGCTCTCTGCTTGGTACATGACTATCTGGACAACTTCGTAATTTTGCAACTGTGTTTTCTGTCTATCGCTCTCGCTCATATTCCTTGCAGTTTGTCCTCCTATGGTAGGGCACTCAATGCTTCCCAGATGGACCCATCGGCCTCGAACGGGTGGAAGCATGAGTGTATTTTGCCGGGGAAGAGGTACCGGACTGATGCTCCCCGGAATGGAAATGGAGCCAGAACCATAACGCCCTGTTCAAAACAAAAAAATCCTGAAGGCAAAAAGAATGGTTTGAGTGTGCCTCATGCTGTCTGCTCTTTCATTTGTTTCCTGAAGTGTGCTCTTCTAGTTACTACATATGGGACATAATAAATAATACATGCATGATAATATATTATAACATCTCCTATGTTGTGTGACAGTAGACACAGATCTTAGATTCACCTCTCCACACACGTAGGTCCATTTCCTGCCACTGTCAAGTTCCAACAGTAGTGGTGAGCGATTGGTCTGCGAGACTGCTGCTGTGCCACCTATGTGCTATCTTCCCTGTTTCCCTTCTGTTACTTTCCAGGTGACAAGGGATTCTCCACTCTGTGTCCATATCCTTGTCGTTGGTCTAGAGCCCACATACACTTTCCATTGTGCTCTTTCTGTGATTTTGTAGGCAAAAGAATCATGTGACCATATGTGGTTCAGGATGAGATTGGATGCCTATTTCATTTGGTGAATGCACACCGCAGTTTGAACTCGACCACAAATATGAATAATCTTGGCTTTGCAGAGAGCACGTCTTTGCGCTTCCCTCCTGGGGAGAAGTTTTCAGAAGACTATTCCTAAACGCTCATCGGATTGACTGCAGGCTACGAGGTTGTGACCCGCAGTTTGACCACTCAAATAGCAGTCCGCTCTCCATGCACGTATGGTATATTATATGCTTGTTTGTGCTGTGTATGAGTTCACCTGTGCTGCTCTGTTCACGGTGTAAGTTTTTCTTATCCTCCTGTTGTCCCTTCTTTGTTGTACTCCTTGTTGTCTCTCTGGATCAGGTTGTCAAAACGTGACCAACAAGGGCTTGAGGGCTATAGCCATGAAGTGTACGGATCTTCGGAGGCTTTCTCTGAAGACTATGAAGAACATTGATGATGGTGCCCTCCAGGCTATTGCTGCAGGATGCCTAAACCTGGAGAGGCTGGAGCTAAAGGACTGCAAGGGTATTACTGATGTGGGGATTATTGCTATCAGCAAAACATGTCGAGGACTATGGAGCTTGCAGGTGAGGTGTCCGGCTCTCACACGTTGTATGGTGCTCTTTTTGTTCTAGTGTTGCGCACATGTGTTGGACGCACAAAATAATCCTTACTCAGATGATATAAACTATGTTGTGACAGGAGTTAAGGTCTTGCAGGCTACCAGGAACTAACACCAGCTTGCGATGCAACATGCTGTCCAGTTTGAGAACCGACAGCAACAACTTCACATCCCCATATGCCTGTATTGTTCGGAAACCTGATAGACCTGACCACTGTACTGCTTTGATTTCCTATCCATCGCGAGAGTGGCATCGTGCTGCACCTCTGAACACTGGGAACTGTGAAGGATGGGGTTACTTGCTGAAACCTTTCCTGCTTTCATGCTCATGATTTCCTCTCCAGTTTGCTAAAACTGCGTACTGTTTTGCTTTGCGGACCATTTGCCCTCATCACAACAGGGACCTGGCTTGACTCTCTGGCCTCCCGTTCTGTGAGGACTCAGGGATACTCATGCTCGGCTTTTGAGTTTGAATCAGGGCTGGTCGCCGGATGGACCGGGGACCCCTACCCCATCCGCGGTCCTTCCGGTTGGACCGGCCAGTGGCCCGGGCCGGTTCCCTCCCGATTGCCCCCAGCGCATTTTCGCTGGGGGCTGAAATTTTTTTTTTGTCGGCGCGTATGTGTTCCCAAGGCCTCGTGGGTGCGGGCCCTGCCCCGCAATTTCGAAACCGGGTCCTGTAGGCCCGGATTTTTGAAGTACAGAAAGTGGCCAATCTTGGCCGCCGATCGTCGCAGATCAGCGGCAAAGATCGGCCAGGACCCCATTTCTATAAGAAAAACGGGCAGACGATATCCGCCGCTGATCTATGCAGATCAGCAGCGGAGAACAGCCATGCGTTTTTCCTAAGATGTGGGACGGGTAGGCCCCTAATCCAATTTGTCATCTTGTGGTCCAATGGACCAGTTACCATTGGCAACATCTGATGCTCTTTCACCCTCAGCCACGAGGGGAACACTATGCTTCTGATGAGACTCTGCTGAGATTATATCCTTCTGCGACGTCCCTGCCATCTGTGGAAAAAAGTTATGGGTTCGGATTTTGGAATTGTGATTTCAGAGCCGTCCGAGGTGCAATCCCAAGAATGGACCTAAAATACAGGGCGTTGTTGCACTACTCTCGACATGCACAAAAGACAAAAATCTTGGCGGTGTATCTTTCCGAATTCTAGCGGAAGATTCACTCTCGTTTTGCACATTTCGAGAGTAGTGCAGCGAGGCCCATATTCTTCTCTCTATCTATCTCGAATGGACCTTGCTCCACTACATGTATCTGGACAGACTGCCAGACAAGATACTTCCGGACTGACAACTCACCTTATGTAGGAACCAACAAACAGAAAACCCTCTGCCTCCACGAGCAGAAAGCTGGAACCATAACTTTTCTGCTGTCGAAATATACTCTGGAAGAGCTATAATTTCGGGCAAGGACCTCCTCTCATCATATCTGGTTCAGCTCGTGGGGTATCAATATCAAACGACATACTCCACGAAGTGCTTCAGCGACGGGGGGGTCGGATAAGTGAACTTGCTTACTTGACCCCTCCCTGAGGAAGCCGTAGTTGCCTGCCTGAATATGTCAATGATAACCCCCTGCCCCCCTCTCGAAGCCCCCTGAAAAATGTTGTACCTTAAAAAAAAAATTATTGCGGATTCGGACAGCTCTTGAAGAGCGCAGTCGGAATCTGCCCAAGAAAAAAAAGAAAAAAAAGATATTTGGGCACTTTTTTTTCAAAACCGGTTTCCCGGGTCACCCCCCCTGGTCTGGTCCGGCTCCGGTTGGACCGGGGTAGCTCAACCGGCCGGTTGCCGGCCCAGCACTGGTTTGAATGCCATAACCTGTGCCAATACCACTCTGAGTGGATGGCTTCTCAATGCATGATGCAACCATTGAACAAGGGTATCTCACTTTCCATAAGTTTATGCATGCTCAGCATGCTCAATTTGCTACCATGGCTGTTTCATTTTATGTCTGCTGACCTGCGTCAGCCCACCTCCAATTCCTTGCCAGCAACTGGGATGCTATGTGTCAGGCTACCTTCAAGGCATGGTTCATGCCAGCTGCTCTGGCGATGGCTGCACTGCGGAGTCTGTCTATGGTTTGCCCTTTCATCACCCATGCCATCCATATAATTCCTGTCTCTTTGCCAGCAAGGTTGTCTTGTCCCCCACCCTGGGCACCAACATACTTTCTTAAACCTGCTGGTTTTCCTTACCTGGACCACTTTACCTAATTGTTTTAAGCCTATTGGATCACAGCATGTGGGCCAAGATATGCGTACTTTTACCGCCAGAACTGTTTTGCCAGCCAGTTTCTTTTCCCTATCAGGCTATCACATCATTGCTCAATCTTCGGTCGTGATGTTTTCCAGAATTTTTCGTAAAAAGGGACGAGGATGAACATTGCAAACGTCGGGACACTTGGAATTTTGTGCCCTGCTGCCAGCTGTCGCCGTGGTCGGTAGGTGGGCCCTGCCTGCCACCGATGTGTATACCACGGCACACCTTGGCCGGCGTTGGCGGCAGTGGTGGCTTACACAAACATGGTGGAGCAAGGAATCGAGGTTCTCGGAGGGAAGGGGAGGCTGTAGGGGGAGGGAGGTTAGTGAGGCATACACATGGTGGTCGCGAAGAAGTGATTCAGTGTGGTATGTACTTTGTTGGGGCACCTGTAGGGGCAGCATTGTATATCAGCGCAGCAGTTTGGGATAAAAAGGATGATCGCATAGGATGGTAGTAAGGCCAGCAAGGGTCGAGAATTATTGTTATTCTTCTATTGGTTTGTGGCAGGCGAGAAGAGGGGTTTTCATCAGAAAGAGACCTGGCCCTTCCAATTCTTGTGCTGGTGCGATCATGGGTTTATCATTTCTGCTAACTCTCTGGTCACCATACACATGCTGGTTGAAGCGCCACTACCTTTTCCCGTGTCGGCCTGGGGTGGGCCTCCAATCTTTTAGGAGGCCAAAACGAAACGACGGCCGCAGATGAGATTTATCAATGGCGGCCGTCGTCGGCCCCAGGCCCTGATTTCTTAGGAGTAGGATATTTTCCCGTTTTCCCAACAGCGGGAAAGGTAGTGGTGGTTTAAGGGAGTTCATTCTGCTTGTAAATTGAGTTTTTAGGTCCAGGGAGCAAGATGTCTAGCCAGCTAGGAAAACAGGAAGGAAATTTGGTGGCCACTCGTGGGCTGAAGAGGCTTGCTGCAGAGTACTCAACCGCACACAAATCTCAGCACTTCTCATTATGTAACAAGGGACACTATTCCAGAAAGGTAACAGAGGTTTTTAAATGCTATGGGAGGGATCTTAGAAGCATAGCCATGGCAGGACTTTTCGATTTTGAGAAACGCGTTCTAGGATTGAGGAAGCTGGTCCGTTTCTCCCTGTCAGAAACGGAACGGAGTGACATGGCCTGCTAGATTCTCTGCCAAGACAATGATTATTTGGTGCAGCTTTGATGTAAAAATCTTGACTTGGGGGAAATACTACCACATGTTCTGACATAAATGGACAACTTGAACCGCCAGTCACTTGTGAGTGACCTCAAGGCTTTCCATTTTGCGCACGCGAGGGGAGGGCAAGCTCAACGTTCCATTGGCCACTTGTGCTGAGACACACTCACGTGTTCTCCTGGCTTCATGCCAGCCTTCTACTCCTCTGGACCTTCCATTGGTGTAATTGGTGCCTACCAGGATAAGAGAAAACCCGGAGTCAGCTCGCACACCTCATGCTTACAGTGACGTGACTGTCAGCCACTGGAATGAACTGACTAGAAGGCGAACCCAGATGAACTCTGCAGGTTAACTGCTGGAGCTGATTCCCCCCTGCGCACCAAAACGAAATGGACCACGGCGGGCCCTTTTTGAGCTGGTGCCGCGAGCCATTTTACTCCGGCAGCGGAGGCAGGCCTACCCCCGAAACTTGCAGTGCATCCATGGTCACGGCGGAGAAAAGTTGGCTGGGAAATGTGCAGCAGGACACGCCCAATGTACCCTAGTGTCGCCTTTCCTTGAAGCATTTATGTCTTGTCGGGTTTATGTGTCTTCTTTTTCTTTTTCTTTTTCTTTTTCTTTTTTATTTTCTTGTTTTTTATATTTAATTTGTACCATTTCTCGATTTATGTGTGTCATCCTTGCGCAGGGGCCATGCTAATCTTCTCTGTATCGTTCCAATTTTAACGGATGTCCCGAAGGACATGTGTCACTCTCTTCTTTTTCAAAATATACGCATTAATTTAATTGATTGATGACTTGTATTCTATTGATTATTTGTATTCAGTATATACTTTGATTATTTATTAAGGGTCCCTGCTGCTTTCTATTCTAGGGATCATCAGTCCAGTTCCCTTCTGCTGGCAAGTCTGGATTACAATGTCCGACACACTCAGATGCTTCCTTCTGTTGTGGCTGAAGGAGCCTTTGAACAGCATTGATTGCTCCACCTCCAGAAGGATTGTCTGTTAGGCAACCTTTGTCCCCTTTCCAATTCTTCTTTGCCCACCGCCTCATGGGCTGTCTGATTGGCGTGGTGAAACTGGGGTCTTTACAGACCCTTTAGTGAGACCTGGTTCCTGGGGAATTCCCTTTCTCTATCTTGCGTACAGCCCACAGGGTGAGACTCCCTCTGATGGAGCTGCTTTCCTGAATCGCCTTTGCAGAGCCTTCACCCCTCTCTCTGGCCCAGAAGTCGGCTTCTGTGTGGACTTCGGAAAAGTAGGCTATCCCTGCGCTCTTGCCACTGTCCTTTTCTATCTTTTTTAATATAAGAAACCTACTTTTCCGAAGTCCACACAGAAGCCGCGACTTCTGGGCCAGAGAGAGGGGTGAAGGCTTGTCAGCGGCCTAGCTCCGTTGGTAGCACACACAAGCGGCATTCAGGAGGTCGTGGGTTCAGTTCCCTGTGGCCGCCTGCGACGTGTTCGTGCTCGCCAGCTGAGACAGTTCGCTCGCCCCCCTGGTCGGTCTTGGAATGGCCTTTGCCTTGGTCGTGGGTTCAGTTCCCCGTGGCCGCCTGCGACGTGTTCNGTTCAGTTCCCCGTGGCCGCCTGCGACGTGTTCGTGCTCGTCAGCTGAGACAGTTCGCTCGCCCCCCTGGTCGGTCTTGGAATGGCCTTTGCCTTCGTCCCTTCCATCCCTCACGAGGGGTAAGGCTCAACGTTGGTGGATGTATGCAGCGTAGAGAGAGGAAGCCATCTTCTATTCAACCTGGTTGCTATAGGTAGCATGAGGTATAATGGAGAGAAGAATATTAGAATAAAGCTTAGTTTTATCCAAAAAAAAAAAAGAATGTCAATATATGATCAGCTGGAAACCGGGTCTACCATCCCTTAACAAAATTTAACACTCTCCACGCTCCTCTCCATCGTGGCCAAGAGAATCTGAGTTGATGGCATTTATCGCCTTCCTTATAGGAAAGGATATGCCACTGCTCTGCCCATGAGCTCCCTATCTTAATTTCCAGAGATCTGGTAGTCCAGTTCACCTCCTGAAATCGCTGCTGTTATTTCCTCCCTAGCTGCATCGCCGCCAGGCGCAGGTGTACTGGTGGTTCAAAGAAATATGCCAAAAACATCCCCTTTGTTCCCTCTCCGGTTTGTCCTATAGCCTGACTAGACCCAATTGATACTGGCCTTCTACTGTCAATGTGATCCAAGACTGAAACTACTCATGCCATTCTATATACTGATCACACAAATGCAGTGGTGCAGCCCAGAGAGTGAGGCAGGTGGTGTGGTGTCGTTGGCAAAGTGATTTGTACGACCTGTGTTGGTTCTTTTGGGCCAGTTGCATTTTTAGCTCAACTGCAAGGCAACATGTGACGAGCGCGGGGCTGAGGGAGAGGGAGAGGAGAGAGAGAGGGAGAGAGTGAGAGCACACACACACACACACACACACTCGACACAACCGAGGGTCGGACGCAGACACAGTGGCAAGGGCACAAAGTCGAAGTCTTGGATTCCGAATGCCGAAACAGCAAGTCACGCTGAGTACGAGTACAGCAGCAGAAAACTGGTACGAGACTGTACGGGGAGCCGCTATAAGTACCGGTGACACGTACGGTACCAGGGGCATTTCCGCGGAAGCCCCGAGGGCAGAACTGAAAAATGCGGTATTTGACAGTGGCGCCCGAATTGCAGGATGGCGCCAGTTGTCCAAAATCTGACGGTACCAAAGGAGGGGTTTGGAAAAAAGGGTGCCAGGCCAAAAACGGGATGCAGCAGAAACAGCAAAAAGATAGACCAGGGTTCGAGCCCTGGCGGAGTCCGTAACACTATCCCCTCCCTCTGAAAGGCAACGTCCCAGCTGCCAAAAAGCCAAGGAAACAAAAAGAGCTGTGAAGGACGGGACGGGGCGGATCACTGGTCGGAGAAGGAGAAAGTCACAGGGTATTCTGTCTGGTGTTCTGCACAGGTGAAGGTATGATGTGACTGGGTGGGTCTATAGGAGAAGCTAAGCAATGTTCAGGGAACAGGGGATTTCTATTGATGTTCTATGGGTAGGGGAAACGATGTTCAGGAAAACAGGGAATTTCTATTGATGTTCTAGTGGGTAAGGGAAACAATGTTCAAGGGAACAGGGATCTGTTAATGATGTTCTACAGGGTTGTCAAAGTCAGGAAAAATAAATAAATAAATAAAAATGAAAATGTTTGTTCAGGAGGCAAGGGCTGGTGTGTCCGAAGGAGTCGGAAGCAGAATCTCATGTGGGAACAAAGTGTCCAAGTGTCTTGAAAGGGGATCTGCAGCGGTTTTGATCAGGTCTTGGAGTAGGTGGTAGAAGCGGTCTTCAGCGGCTGCAACAGGTAGAAGTCCAAGAAGCGTAACAGTAGTTCAGATGTCCAAAGTCCAAGTGATGGGGTGCATCCGGCACACGAACTGCTATGAGGTCTGATATGGAAGCAAGGAAGTCGCAGACTGATGCAAAGATCCATGTCACAAGTTGCTGCTCCAGTAAGTCTGCGAGTCGGGATGCCGGCCGATGAAACAGCATGGTGGCCAAACCAGCTGCATAATCTCCATGAACAGTGAGGCAGCAGGCCATCGTCGTCGTGCGCTTGCCATTAGATCCTTTATTGCCGGCATCACGCACGTTCATAAGCATTGGATGAGAGAGACAAGGTAGTGGAGAGGACAGATGGGACAAGGCTAGGCGAGGGCAAGGGCAGATCAGACACCAGGAATCGGGGTCGAGGGGAGGGTGGACTGGGTTCAAGGGTGTGTGTAGAACGGGGTTGCTAGGTTGTGACAAGGTTTATACAGGGGTTTAGGGTTGTAGTTACGCGGGTGTCTAGGACATAGGAGTAGCACAATCATAGGCGCGGACAAGTTTCATGGCATTCTTGAGATTCGAGAGAGGTTCCCATGTAGATTCTTCGTCGGGGTATCCGGTCCATTTGACTTTGTATTCAGTGATTGGTTCCGGGTGGTCAGATACCTGAGTAGTTCGTTGACCTATGATCGCTTCAACAACGAATTCAGGGTCTGTGGGTAACATGATAGGTGGAGGTCTAGGATATGGGCGGTCAACGACTTGGGTGGGGATTCATGATATTCTTTCAAGTATTTGACGTGGAAGACCGGGTGGATGCGGCTCATGTCGGGGGGGAGTTGGAGTTTGTAGTTGATGTCGGAGGTTTTTCAATGATGGGGAAGGGTCCGAGCCATTTGTTCGAGAGTTTTTTTGACAATCCGTGTTCGGTTGAAAGCGTTTGGCGGAGAGTCAAACTTTGTCCCCTACTTTGAATTGCAAGTCTCGTATGTGTGTGTTGATCTTGTTTGCTTGTTGTTCTTGTGTCCTTTTGCGGGCTTCGGTTGATTCTCTGAGGAGTCGATTCACTGTTGCTACCCATTCATTGAGGGAAGGGCAGGGTGTGGAGGGGTTGAGTTGCGAGGGAAGCAGGAAATCAGAGGGCAAGCGCGGATGGTAGCCAAGGTCAAGGTAGAATGGAGACATGCCAGTGGAAGGACAGACAACGTTGTTGTAGGCGATCTCGGCGACGGTGAGCAACTGATCCCAGTCGTGTTGATGTGGATGACAGTACTTCTGTAGGATTCTTTGGAGAGTATCGTTCATCTTCTCGGTTTGTCCATCGGTCTGTGGGTGGAATGAAGTGCTATACTTTGAGTGTAGTTCCGTAGGCGTTGAAGAGTTATTTCCAGAACAGTGAGAGGAAACGGGGATCGCGGTCGTTGATGATATTCTCGGGGAGGCCGTGGTCGCGTGCAACATGGTCAAAGAAGAGTAAGGTGATGTCTTTGGCGGTGTGCAAGGTGGTGCAAGGGATGAAGTGGGCGCGTTTGGTCAGGCGGCAGATAATGACGTAGATGCAATCATGCCCACGGTCGGTCTTAGGGAGGCCGCACACGAAGTTCATGGAAATGGACTGCCACCGGTGAGTGGGGATGGGCAATGATTGGAGCTTGTCGGGTTTGGCCCGGTTCGAGGGATTGACAGCCTGACACGTGGGACATGAGTGAATGTATGTTTTGACGTCGGCGAGTAGAGACGACCAATAGAAGTAGCGGGAGATGGTGACGAAGGTTTTCTGGAAACCAAGGTGACATGCGGTCTTGGCGTCGTGGTGCTCGGTCAAGAGCTGGGTACGGAGACCACGTGTGTCGGGGATGCACAGTCGGCGAGTGCCTTTGGTGTCGATGTAGAGGAGGTTGTCGTGGAGGGAGTAGTCGGGGACTGGGTCAAGATCGAGGAGCTTGTTGTAAATGGTGGCGAAGTCTGGGCAAGAGAGGTAGCCTTGGGTGTATCGGTGATGGAGTGATGGGAGGAGCTGGATATGGGTCATGGCGCCGTAGACTTTTTCGGGGGTCTTGTGGTCGGGTCATCGAGAGAGGGCATTAGCAATGCGATTGCTTTTGTTGGGGGTATGACAAACGGTGAATGTGAACTGGGCAAGGAAGTCGAGCCATCGAGTTTGGGGTGGGGTGATGTCTTTCTTGGTGAGGATGGAAGAAACGATGGTGTTGTCAGTGCGGACGGTGAAGTATTGTCCGTTGAGGTACGGGCAGCAGACTGTGAGGGCGTGAATCAGGACGAGGAGTTCCTTCTCGTTGGAGGGGTAATTCATCTCCGCGGGAAGGAGCTTCTTGCTTGCGAAGGCGATGGGGTATTCGTCGGGTGGAGCCTCGGGGTGAGTGGGTGCGTGGGTGAGTCCTTGATGGAGGGGGTGTCCACGGTGTCGCAGGGGAAATGTTGGGACAGGACGGCTCCAATGGCGAAGCCGGAGGCATCAGTGGTGACATAGAAATGGCGAGTGGGGTCGGCGATCTTGAGGACAGGGGCCGTGGTGATGATTTGCTTGAGGAAGTCAAAAGCGTGTTGGCGGTGATCGTTCCAATTGAAGGGCTCGTCCTTGCGTTTGAGTTCGTGGAGAGGGTAAGAGATCTCAGAAAAGTTGCGAATGAATGGGCGGTAATAGTTGGCAAGGCCGAGGAAGGAACAAAGTTGGAGGACGGTCTTGGGCGGGGGGTACTTGACGAGGGTTGTGACCTTCGAGGGGTCCATACGGATGCCTTCAACGGAGACAATGTGGCCAAGGTATTCGATGCTTGAAGCGGTAAACGTACATTTGCTGAGCTTGGCGTAGAATTTTTGCTCTTAGAGGATCGAGAGGACTTGGCGAATGTGCTGAAGGTCGGGCTAAAGATGAGGATGTCATCAAGGTACACGACGACACAGACTTCGAGGAGGTCACGGAAGATGTGGTTCATGGTGGACTGGAATGTGGCGGGGGCATTGGTGAGTCCGAAAGGCATTACAAGGAACTCGTAGTGCCCGAACCGAGAGCGGAATGCGGTCTTGTGGGTGTCCTCCTCGCGGATACGGATCTGGTGGAAGCCAGTGCGGAGGTCGATCTTGGTGAAATATTTGGCTCCACGGAGATGATCAAGAAGTTCAGATATTCGGGGGAGTGGGTACTTGTTCTTGACTGTGATTTGGTTCAAGGCACGGTAGTCTGTGCACATCCGGAGTTACGAGATGCCGTTCTTCTTGACAAAGAGGCAACTGGTTACGAGAGGGGAGGACCTAGGCTTAATGAATCCTTTTTCAAGGAGTTCATTGAGTTGGCGCTTCATTTCTTTGGCCTCTGGGACAGAGAGTTGGTACGGAGGCTGGCAAGGAGGAGAATGGTCGGGCTCGAGATCAATTGTGTGGGTTACACCTCGATCGGGAGGTAAACCGGCGGGCAAGGACTCGGGGAAGACGTCCTTGAATTTAGAGAGGAGAGTGGTGATGTGAGGATTGGAAGGGGGGTCTCGGTTGGGTTTGTCCGTTGGAAGCAAGTCCTCGGGACGTTCATGGTCGATAACAAGACAATAGTAAGCGGAGTCGGGGTGTTCACGAGACATGTGAAGGAACTGGTGAGGGGAGACAGGGGGTGGGGTAGAAGGGGGGAGAAGGTAAGGGATATCAAGAGGAGAGTCCGGAGGGCGGGTGAGTCGAACGAAGGAGGGGTGGAAGGAGTAGAGCGTGAAACAGTCAAGCCATGGAGTCCCCAGGACGATGTTGCACATGAGGTGCATGACATCGAAGGAGACTTGACTGCGAAGAGGACCGGAAGTCGTGAGGGTCTCGAGGACAGTGCGATCAACAACGATGGTTGAGTCCTTATCCCCTAGTCGCATGGTGATCGGGGAGTCATAGCCGGTGGAAGAGAGGTCGACTTTGCTGACACAGGCTTCGGTGATGAAGTTGTTGGTGGCACCAATATCAAGGAGGGATCAAAACTTCACCGTCGATGCCCCAAGGGAGACGATGACAAACTTGAGCTGGAACCGTGCGGTTCCGGCACTAGCAGAAGAGATCATGGTGTTGAGGCGGCGTTGTTCCAAGCCTAATCTAACAAGCCGATCGTGTTGTGCTTGTTCCTCAACGAGATCGGAGAAGGTGGTGGAGGAGGGGTTAGGGATGAGAGTAGAGCAGGTGCCAGTGGGAAGCTCGACCGACAGGATAGTAGACGTCGTCAGGAGGGGGCAGGCGGAGTAGACTGTGTCGCTTGGGGGTCGTCCGATAAGATGTGCATCACCGGGGAGGGGGTATGCAGACGGATAGTCAATGCCAAGTGGGCCACCGGTGGAGTAGAGATCGTCACCGATGGGAGAACCGGCAGACCAATGGTCGATGTCGGGGGAGGGTTGCAAGAGTCACGGGGACAATGTTCAGGTGGAGGAGGGCCCAGATGTCGCGGTGGAGGGAGAAGTGGAAGTAGAAGGGCCAGGTCCTGCGGAGCGAGGGACCTGTCGAGTAAAGCGGCTAGCATTGGGTCAGTTGGTCTGTTGATGACCTAACTGGCGCCAGCGAAAACATCCGTTGTGTTCATGGAGGTATATGCGTTCTTCGGGTGTGAGTTTCTGGAGACGACGGGGTGGAGAGGAAAAAGGCGGTTGGGAGGCAACGAGCCTGGCGTTCCATCCGCATAAGGTGGGCGGCCTGGAGGTCCTCAAGGGTGAATTGGGAGGGGTCGAGAGAGGCAGTGTCGAAGTCGTCATCGGAGGTGGATGGGGTGGTGTCGTTGGGGGTGATGTTATGGAAAAAGCGCGGGCGGAAGGGAGCGGGCGTGGATTGGTGATGGGGGTGGAGTCGTCGATCGTGGTGAAGCATTCGAGAGAGGAGGTCGGCAAGGGGCATGTCGGGTTCGTGGGCGAGGGCGGTTGCAAGATCTTTGTGGCATACTCGCTTGATGCGGGAGATGAACGCAAAGTTGGGAATGACGATGGTGGGGAGGTGATGGCGGAGGGAGCGGATGTATTCGACGAAGCGGTCCGTGGGACCGCTCTGGCGGAGGTGACAAAATTGTTCGAGGTAGTCATCGATGGTTTTCTGGGGGCGGAAGGTGACAGTGAGAAGGTTGGCCCATTGGAGGAAGGAGTGATGCGGTCCTCCGGAGGCGCGGCGGTTGCTGACTTCGGACATGCACTATTTGGCGGCATTGCCAAGGAGGTGAGAGGTGGCAATGGGAAGCCAATGGACAAGGGGCATGTGGTGGAGCTTGAAAGAGTTATGGAGCTGGGTAAGGAAGAGGAAAACGTCCTCGTGGGGAAGGCCAGAGAAGGGCATGATGTCGGTGGATGGAAAGGAACGGGGGATTTCCCCTTCACGAGAAACGATCCGGGCGAGGGTGTTGAAGTTGAGGTTATCGGGGGTAGTGTCGTAGCAGGTGTAATCGAATTGGCTGTTGTTGTCAAGGAGGTAGTTGGGGGGAAGTTGTGGCATTGTCGGGTAAGCCTCGGTGGTGACTTGGGAATAGGTGGGACGGGGGGTGGGGATGGTGGAGGTCGTCATGATGGGTTGTGAGATAGTATGGAATGTGCGGGGGGGGGAAGAGGGGTGACGTGGTTAGGCGAGGAATGAGGCGGTGTGCTGGAAGCGACGGATGAAGGGGGGGGAAGGGTGGAGGAGGCAGAGGTGGTGGATATGGTGGTAGAGGTAGTAGGAGTGGAGGAGGTCGGCGAGGGGGTGTGGCTGGAGGCGGTTGTGGACTTGGGGGKGGTGGTGGTGATCACCTGGATGGAGGGGGTAGTGGTTTGGGACTCGAGGGCGGTGGATGTGGGCACGGTCGTAGACGTGGGTGCCGTGGTTGTGACCACTGTGATTGTCGGGGTTTGAAAATCGAGAGATGTCACACGGTTGGATAGGCCAGAGAGAGTGGTTTCGATTTTGGTGATGGACGCGCGGATGTCCGTTTGGGAAGAGGACATCATGCGAATGAGGGTGGCGATATCGGTGGCAATGGGCTCGGATCTTTGTTCGCCTGTAAGTTCGCTAGCGAGGCTGTCAACAGACAGGGTGTTGATAGCGGTCATATCGATGTTGGAGGATTGGGCCATGTCGGGGGAAGATGGAGTGGATGAGGTGGCTGAGGCGAAGGCTGCGCATGAGGTGGAGGCAGACGCGGCGGCAGCGGCGACGGCTGCACGCTGGAGGGTCTTGGTTTGGCATGGTGGCATAGGGAGATTTAGGAGTGGCAGGGCGTGGGGGTGGGGAGGGTATTTACAACATTAATTGATTTATTCAAAAATGAGTAAAGGTATTTGCCAAAACAATAAATGAATAAAATGGGAATTAATTCAAAATAAATTATTCCGATTTGGAGTAATTTATTCGAGATTAATTCGAAAATTCGGAAAGGATTTTGCGGGAGAAAAGTTGGAAAAATGCTGAAAATATCGGAAAAAAAAATCGAAAAAAAAAATCGAAAAAATAAATTCTGGTTAAATTTATTCGAAATGAATTTTGGGGTATGAAAAGCATGAAATTTCAAAAGGAATTGAGTAAAATAGTTTCGAATTTTGAAAAAAAAAGAAATATCAAAAAAGAATTTAATTAATTCTAATGCTAGGCTACCAGAGTGGCCCGGGGTCACTTGCCCGGCCGGGCCAAAAAAATAAAAATAAAAGAATTATTTTCAAATTTTATTTTTTATTCTCAATTTGGTGAAGAATTTCGATGTGACCTTGAGGCAAAAGTTGTTCAGTTTATTTTTCTGCATAACATAGTTTGTTTTTCGGATTTTTTGGATTTTTTTGTTTTTGTTTTTTTGGCTGGGACCTTCCTTGGTCCTTGCACGGGCTGGCCACCCGGGACCCGGGCGGCCCCGGTTGGTAGCCTAGTTCTACTGTATTTTCAAAATTTTTGAAAAAGAATGAATGAAAAGTAGTTTCGAATTTCAAAGGAATGTCGAAAAAGAATTAATTAATTCTACGTATTTCGAATTACGAAAAGAAAGGAAATGTCAAAAACTTGAAAAAAGATAGTTAATTAAGTATTTTCAAATTTACATGAATTTCAAAAGAGTTCTACAAACAAGAAATACATAAATAAACAAATAAGGAATAAATTAGTTTTGATGTAAATCGAGGGCGGAGCGATTCTATGTACGATTGATTGGGTGGTAGCGTGGTAGGTAGGGTTTAAAAAAGGGGGTTGCACGGGTAGATTGACGATGATGATGATGATGACGATGATGATGATAATGATGATGATGATGATGATGATAGTGATGGTGATGGGGGGGGAACGT